TCAGATGTTCAGCATTACACAGCCTCTCCTTTGGTTACACACAGCTGCAGGCACTGGGTGGGACTCCAGCGCCTGCAAATACCTAAGAGGAAACATAGAGAACAAAGCCAATATAGAAGCAGTGAGAGGCTCTGTGCAATGTTATGTAATGTTACTGACCTCTTTTATGGGGCAGCTGGAATACAGTTACCTTCTGAACATGTTAGTTGGATAACAAAAAGAGAGATTAATGAAAGCCTTTGTTAAAATTCACTTGGAAGCAGTCCAGCTGTAATCATCTCCCTTCTGATGTTCCTTGAGCACCGGACAACTCATCACACAAGTATTTATGGACTGGTGACTGTTTGCACACAGATCTTAAGTCTGAGATCCTCCTATGTTGTCAAGTAAAATCACTAACACTTTGACTCTAGTAAGGAGAGGAAGAGGAGAGAAAGAAAGGAAAAGACAGGATCAACATGTTAGAGACAAATGAGAGGTACAAAGTTAAGGACATTCTGAAACATTATCCATATTTCCTGCAGTCTGGGCACAGGACAAAGCATCACACAGGCATGCTTGTGGTGATTCAGGCAGCAGGGCAGCACCAGCTCTCCCAGGTAACAACTGTACACAGTGAGCAATCACAACACTTGGAGCACTGCAAATCCACAGGCTGTAATTTGTTCAGGCAAATGACTCAGCCACAATTGATTAATCAAATAGGCATGTTTCTTACACCCTCAATTAGCCAACTCTGTAAAACCAGGATCAATATGAAGTCAAAAAAGCCTGCTAAAAAGTAGCCCAACACTCTCCCTCCCTCGACACACTTCCCCAATTAACTTCATTATTCTCATAAATTCTTTCGACCTGTCAATCATCTCTGTCACTGAGGTTTTGGTATTTCAAGGCAACTGTCTGGATGGTTCAGAGTTGCTGCTTAAGGTTTCTCCCATATCTGGGTGTGGTAGGAATGCCCAAAATAATGACTTCATTTAGGTGAGCACTAAACACAGTCAACCAAAACAATCTCACAGACACCTTGGTTGCAAGCTTCATGGAGATATGCATAGCATGGCAAGAGACAGGTGAGGATAAAAAATTACCACCATGTCAGTTATTAGGATGAAACAACTATAAACAAAACAGAACTGTGTTGAAATCCTGGTTCCAACTTTTGAGTTCTCTGCACCGTTGCTTGGATTTGAACGTGATGCCCAGGATAACAACTGCATATATATTGGTAACAGTATTTAAAGGATTTGTTTTCTTGTTTTCAGTCTCCACTGCTGGTTTGCATATCAATAAATGACTGTGCCTAAATGAACTGCACAAGAGGAAGGAGTTCCATTGCACAGCAGGTAGGCAGGTCATGCACCAAGTAACATTCAGGAATTCCATCTTCCTGTCTACAATGAGTACCTGGTCATTTCTGCCCATGGAGAACAGGTTAGATGTGGGGCTGGAAAGGGCACTTGGTACTGCTTGGTCCCTTAGGGTAAACCAGGCTTAACTTCAGTCAAAGAACTTGGGATGGTTAACAAAGCCCAGCTTTGTTAGGCAGCTGTCATGCTCGCACTGGCTGATGGCTGGGAGGTGTGGTGAAGGGAAAGCAGAGGAACAAAGCTGCCCAATCACCACAGGAGAACTGGGACTGTGCAAACAACTGCAGACAGACCTGATTCATCCCAGCAGATCAAAGCAGAAGAAGGTAAAGCAAGATTGACAAGATCCGCCACACACAACCAGACATCAGGGTGCAAAAAGCCCTCATAGTCTGGTCCTGCTCTCATTTTTTCCACAACAGAAAGACCAGGCCTCTGTCTGCTACCTAGCCAGCTTCTAGCCACCCAAGGCCTTTTACCCCAATTCTGGCTAATCTTTTCCAGTGGTTTTGCTCCCTAGCTTTGCCTTCTGGTAACACTAACATTAGACTTTTGAATAAATAATAATTACAAAACACTGGCATTGAGATTTGCTGTGAGAAGCATTTTTCCATGGCAGGGGTGAAAGCTGCTTGCCAGTCACCCACAATTTTGTTTGGCAAAAAAAAGAGCGCGATTAAAAAATTAACACAAAGTAGTCAGATTTACAATGGTTACCTGTCTCCTGCATGTTATTTCTCCAAGAAGAACAGAACATTATTTGGAGTGATTTTGCACTCAGTATTTTCCACCAGCTGCCTGTGGCCTGGAGTGCCAGGGATCTGAATCAGGGTCAGCCCCCTGACACAGCAGAACTACAGGCATATTTAGGCATATGTTTGACCGTGTCTTGCTTATCCTGCGGACTGGCAATTTGAATGAAAATCCATTAAAAAAACAAGCATTTGATTTTCATGTATCTACTTAAAACATTTCTAAAGTCACTCTTGAGTGAGTCACAACACCTCCAATAACCAAAACCTTTAGATGCTTGTGTCTAAAAATGGAGTCAGGAGGCTTGCCCTTCACAGTCAAGATTCATGCAAGCCAGTAGTGCTATAAACCAATTCTTCCATAAGCAATAACAGCTCAGCTGTGAATCACTGGAATTCAGTGACTAACCTTTGGTGGATATTAGAACTTGTTGCCTTAACCAGGGTTTTCTTTCTTACCTCAGAAACAGCAGAAACAAACTAAACCTGGTCTGTCTTAAGTGCATACAGGAAGAAGAGGTAAAATACTAGTCATTTATAACAATTGCTTGAAAGGAAATGCTGTGATCAACAGGTGAAAAATTGTAATCTTTTTTATCTCTATTTCTGCTAATAAATTATTAAAATCAGCGTTTGATCAGGCTTTTTTAGAGTAGCTCTCATCTTGCTCTCCAAAACTAGAATGTGCAAAACCATTGCAAAAAAGTTCTTGTTCTGCTCTTTAAGAAATGTAGAGAAAAAAAACCCTGCAAGAACAATGTACAGAATAGATCTGGATGACAGTCATTCCAAAGGCAAAATTATTACAGGCTATTATCTAGTTGTCTGGAGGAGCCATGGACCAGCTGGCTGTGATGTTCTGCTCAAAGTTAAACACAGACAGGAAACCGCATGTCTGATACTGTAAAAATCGTTTGTCTTCCTGCCATGGCTAACCAGGCAAGCAACCCAAAGGGGCTGTTTTCATTTAAAAGAAACACTAATCCACAACAATAAAAAAGGAATGATAAAGCCTCAATTCTCCCCCCTCCTGACTGGAGTTAATGCCTGTGTTTATGAATGAACTGGAAATGTTACGGAGTGAAGTTTTACATTGCTTTAATTTTTATCTGTAGTTATTCACTTAATACATATGAATGCAGCACATGGTTTTCATGAGTCACCTGAAGTGCTCACAGCACATGACCTAGAAGGAAAGGCTCCACTGGAAGAGTGAAAGGAATTTGGTAAAAAGACCAGGTTTAAACTTCTACTACTCCTTGTGGGTTGATCTGGAAGAGTGAGTGAGCTGCAGAGTTCATAGGAATCAAGGCACTTGGTGCTGAATTTTAGAAAGGTTTTCATAACTGTACATGCACACCAAAGACACATATTTATCAGTGATTTCATTCAGCTACATAGCTCCAGGAAAAACAGCTATAACGTGGCTAACATACAATTTAGCCAAAATCCACAAGGGTGTGGTACATATTGTACAAAAACACTAGGCAGCTGACACAGAGTAAGATCTCTTCTCTGGGGACACATTCTCTTTAATAAAACTACGCAATCTGTCTACCTGGGTCTACCACTTGTGCTCATATCAATACCAGTATATGCTCCAAATCCTTTAAAGATCACCCAAGTAAGGGTTGGTCACACAACCATAGATGAGCAGTCAGGTTGTCTGGTTTCAAATCAAGCTTGATGAGGGGATGAGATGAGGAAGATGGGGATGAGGGCTGGCACCAGAAAGGGATAGCCTGGGCCAAGGGAAGCAAAAACATGCTAGCTTGCTCTTGGCTAATTTGGTGTGGTTTTGAGACCTAAACTAGTTGGCCTTCTTGGAGGTTAGGAAGTGAGAGCTACAATTGCTCACACAGTCATTCACCTCAGTGCAGTCCCACACCATATTTCCCAGGAGTGGAAACAGCATCCCAAGCCTTCGTTATCTGAGGTAACAAGGACCTAATTATATCCTTTTCTGAGGAATTTATGGGTGATGGGGATGGGTGTGGTGTGCCACACCCTTTCAGAAGTGTGAATACATGAATTCCTCCATAGGAGACCTCACCCTTCCCTGTGAGAAACCTGACTTTGTCTCAGTAAAATAATCACAGCAGGTAGCACAAAATAAAGCAAAAGGGGTGTATGCACCCACGCACATCTGTGTGTGCAGCAGTAGGTCCAGCAGCACTGCACACACCTGCACTGCCTTCACTGTGTCTGCAGTGGCCCCATCAGAGCTCAGAAGTGGAATGCGGATGGGTTATGCACTTGTGGTTTGGTCTGCACTCACATTTCCCTGGTTTACCTGAACTCACATACAGTGCCTTGTGCCATGTAGGCGTGGGGGAATATATTCCCCAGAGAAGGAGCCTAGCTTCTTCACACCCACCACAAGGGAGGTGCAGATGGTCAGTTACACCAGAGAAGCTGACTTAAAACTCACATCCTATCAGGTTATCAGTAACATCTCTATATGCAGATAACACACTCAGGCAATACAGCCTTTTAGAAGAGGTAGGACCTTAAAAATAGCATTTGCCTTTAGTTTGGATTTTATAATGTAATTAGCATGTGTTGCATTTTGGTGTGCCCACAGAACAACTGTAAACATCTTGCTTTCATCTTCCATCAGCTTTTAAGTGCAATATCTTGAGCTGAATATGAGACTTACTTCAAAATGAGGACAGCCTGGCAGGAAGAAGTACCCTCAGAACACAGAAAAGAAAGATTGAGATTTTTCAAGATTCAAGAAAGACTAAAATAGCACCCGCCATTAGAAGTTCTCCCCCACAAAATGCAATTCCAAAGGACATCAGTATAACACAGTTAATATTAACACAGTTAATATTACTTGCAAGGAATGTAGGAATGTCAGGTAAATTATTAAACCTACCTGATGTAAAAATGAGCAGATCATTGCATTCTTCACCTTTGCAGGAACACATGAACATCAATCCCCCATCATCCTTCTTTTCCCTCATTAAACACTGCTCTGAGTTAGAGTCATCCAAAATGTGACCATACAGTTTTTCCTGGGGGTCGTGGCATATTGTTTCTAATGTCACATTTTCATCATTCTGTCTCCTAAAAATGAAAAGGAGAAAACTGAAATCAAAAAGGAAATATTTTATAAAGGGAGCAGACAGGACCACACCTGGCCAAAATTTACCTCTTTTGAGAACATAAACAGGATTTAAAGAGCATCCTATGTTTTTCTTTGTCTTTGTTGAATGGGGCAAATTTGGCACCATCTGGGCTCCTCACAGCTGTACAATGGCACAGCTATTCCTGTATCATATTCCTGCTAAGCTCACAAGAGTGCCTCTGAAAATCTCACTTAGAATTATTCAAGCTAATGCTTGATGAACTGCTGTGAACTTCAGAACATACTTTTGGTTTTTGTGGTCACTAAGCAGACAGTAAAAATCTGTGGGAAATTATGAGAAAAACTGAATTATTTCCTCAAAATCAGAGAATTTCTAGTGAGTTGGTCTTTTCATTTTGCTTTTGAAGCCTACAATCAGCACAGTTTGTGCACCGACAGAGTTATATACCAAAAAACCCCCTCAACCAACTAAAAACAACCCAGCAAAATATCAATCATAAAAACTGATGCAAGTTAGAGTTGCCTCACAGTCAGGGAAATATTTACAGCTGATAATCTGGACCATATTCCTGTGTTTTGTCCTGGTCCACAGATTTAATTTCATTTACAAAAGACTTGTTGGCAAAAAAGCACTTTACAGTTCTCAACTTACTTGCCTGTTGGATAAATGGTAATGAAAAATCCAACATGTATCTTAAATTGTACAACAGATCCTTTTTACGGCAATAATAGACACTGATGACTTACTGAAGAATCACAGGAGAAATATGGAAAAGCACACTGGACTGATCCTGAACTGAAATCCCTACTTCCAATTATGCTGAACATCTCAATTCAATGGACACAACTAATCCCTCAGTACATTAATTAGTTATGTCCCTCTGTAAGTGGTTCTAATTATTTTACTAAATCAGCAGCAATGCTGCAAACACTCTGTTGTGTTCCTTTAGTCCAGTTATTAACTCATTAAGAGTGGTTCTGGCTTTCCTTGGTAGGACTGGATTCCCATTTATGAAAGGGCAAGGGATGCCCCAGTTTTTAGACTGGAACACAAGATTAAAGCAAATAAATAAAAAAAATATTTACAATTCGTTTTCATAAACTCTTGATTTCTTTGAACTAAGACAGGGGCTACAAAAAAAGCATCATGCCTACATCAAAGTCTCCACCGACACAGGATTTTTTTCCCATTAAGAGGAAATATTTCTACCTATACATGGCAATAAGCCTCTTGTGATAAACCTACATAATCTAGTTCCCTTGAAACCTGAGAGAGAATTGTCTTTGTTCAGCAACTGTCACTACAATCCTCTCTTGAGCCTCAAATCTGTTTCTACTCTTGAGTGCTGTGGGTGGAAACAACTTAATGGCTTGCGCAAAACCATGCCTCTTTTCCAATAACAGTGTAAGCTGGAACAGAACTGTTTTAGAAAAAAACAAGTCTCCAGAACATTTCATATCAGAATTGTTAACCTCAAGCAACTCTTGGTATGCTGTGCAGAGATATGAGCTGGAAGCAGGAGAGCAAAGCCTGGTGAGGGAGCAGGGACATTCTGAATATCAGAGCAATCAAGGAAAGTACTAAGCAGCGATCAATGAGGGTGTGCTCCTGTCCCCACCTGTATGAAGAAATAACTTACCATATAGCAACACAGACTTCACTACTCTTCTCACAGATAGAGGTGATGTTGCAGTTACTCCTGCACTGATGTTGGTTTGAGCAGGTTGTTGCTTTAATGTCACAAAACTTGCATAAGTTTGACATTTTCAGTCCACTCTCCTTATTTCTTTCTACAGGTGATGTAAATTCAGCTTAAGAAAAAAAAAAAAAAGGAAACTCAATAATGGTAGGTGATCAGATTGCCTTATTGCTTATTATGAAGATAAGGTTTTCATCAGCAGCAAACATTTCCTCTTACCTTAAATTAGAAAATCTTTGATCTTTCACAGCTACCAATTTTCTTTACAACAAGGTAAGTGCCACAATGTCAAGACCAGGTTAATCAAAGTGAATTTGAAAAGCGAAATGAATTTCTGTTGACTTCAGAGGGGGCAAAAGTTGCTCCGTAATTTGCAGAATTATGCATTTTCCAAAACCAGTTTGCACTGAAATAGCTCCTCTGCACTCATCCATTTGCATTACTCACAGGCAGTGTGTCTGTGCCCCATGTGTAACACTGCATCATGGTCTATGTGCCACAGTAACTGTGGGTTCCACACTGAGAATGCACATTAGCTGTGTGATATCATTATACCATGGATCAGCATGAATTTTGCAATTTTGTCTTTACTAACCTGAGGCATAACCTAGGTGTCATCCCTAATCTGATTACTGTTTACACAAAAATCACAGAGCTGGAACAGACTTTGAGCTTAAGGTAGATGGCCTGCCAGAGGATGTGGGTAAAACTCAAGCCAGAAATGCAATAGGGCATCTGTGCAGCTCATGTGATCTACTGCAGGAATCTAACTGGGCCAACTGCAGGGGACTTGAACTCAAACTAACTTGCAATGACAGCCTGTCTTGTAGATGCCTGCTTTGACCCAACAGCTACTTTTCTGCACCAAGAAATTGAAGAATTGCATGCTTACTGGTTCTGAGTCTCAGTACTTGCCATCTGCTTCAGTGTGGCAGCAGTAAGGAAAGATATTTTTGTGCCAGTGTTTGAACTTCAGGAAAGATACTTTTAGCTCAAAAACTATTTTGAAAAGACAATGTAACTACAAGGAACAGAAAACGCTGACACAAAATTCTTCCTAAAGCTAAAACGAACATGCAACTATCTGAAGCGGAGCAGACCATCAACAACAGTTTCAGTCTGACTCACTTTGCAATGTAATTGGAAAAGTAGGGTGAACCACTTTGAGGAGATACTGGACCTACATGCAGCACAGCCCTTCTCTTGTAGCCACCTGCGTGTTAAAACTGTTTTCATATTGCTTTCTGTAGCCAAATGTTGCTAGTCAACCCGTAATAGGCAACCAGGGATTTATAATTTCCCCCTCTCTCTACTCAATTAGCTGAGAAATCAATTTTTTCCTTCTAGAACTTCACTTTTTACTACCATTAGACTATTTTACTACAGGAAATAAATACACATGATTTTTCCAGGAGGAAATAAAAGAGCCTCCTGCTAACATTTTCAATTGAGTTCTGAACCATTGTGAAAGATGGAGAGGAAGGTTTTCTTACACATCTTTCTCATCACTAGCATGCTCTGCTACTGACCTAAGGTCTCTGATCTAACAGCCACTATACTCAGTGGCAAAACTTCCAATGGTTTTATGGCATAGAAGAGGATGCTGCACAGAGGGGCGGTTAGGATGAGCTCACTGGGTGTGGCATTGTGCTCCTCCCTGCTTTTGGCTCAAGCAAGAGCTAGCAGTGGTGGCTGTGAGGGCTGCACCTGGCTTAAAGCTGGACTCTGGGAAGACAGATAACAGCACAATAGCTGAGGGCCATAAAACTTACTCAGCAGCTGAGGTCTAGTTGAGCATGCGCCAAGCAAAATACAGCTGGCATGCAAATACTACTATAAGTCAATCATCTTACTCCATAAATAGGGAACAGCCCAGGGTCTGCTGAGCTCTCCTGCACAGCTGTGGGCTGCATGCCAGGATCTCCCCTTGAACAGGGATGCCTCTTGAGGTTGTGAGAATACTCATTGCACTAAATACTCAGTAAGTGAAAGGGGAATAAGCAAGCTGAAACTTTGAAATCTTAGCTAAGTGAGATAAAGGACTGCTTGTGCACATATAATCCTTTAGACCAAAGTTCCTAGCCTGGAACTAGGAACTTAGGTCTAAAGGATCCTAGGTCTGGATCCAGCCACACATGGAAACCACCTGAGAAAGGGGTTTAGAATGCGAGGGGGTCCTTTCTGAACCTCCTCACTCAACATGAGGGTGTCTCTGACAGTTTGTCCCACCTTGTCCTCTATGCAGTAAATAACCAAGTGTATGTTGCCATCAAAGCTTGTTATAGCGCTGTCATGTTTACTATCAAGCTTTGTCAAAATAAACATTGTTACTTTTCCAAGGGAGGTGTGCCACCCCATTTGCAACACTGGGAGCTCTTACATGGGTGAAGAATGCTGGCAGGATTTTATGGGCTGGCAGAATTTTAAGCCCCAGGTAAACATTTCTTGTTCTGTTGTGTTGCAACAACTCCCAGTAGCCATGTGGAGGAACAAAGCCTCATTGAAGCAGGTGTAGTAGGAACTCAGAAGGTCTTGAATGTAGTATTCCATGAAATACATGTCAACACAATCCTCTCTATAGCAAATGGTACATCTCTTCTGGATGGTATACATCTCTTCTTCCTTACCACATGCTGAAGAGAAACTAATAGCTGTCACAACTTATCTAGGTTGCAGTAAGGATTGAAACAACCTGATAGTGAGGGACTGTCCCTCTACCCAGAAAAAACCCCAATCCATAGCGCTAAAAGCCTGGAACGAAAATAGAAATAAATACTGAGGGAGAGGTGAAGTGACTCACCCAAATGTACACAGGAAACCTGTGGCAGGGGTGCTTGCAACTGAGCATGGGGGAAAGGCATCAGCTGCATCTATGCTGCTTTCAGCTCTGAGCTCACATGGCAGCTGTGGCACGATGGTTGCCTGTGCCATGAACATGACTCAGTCCCCTCCAGTGGCCACAGCACTGGAGCCAAGAGCCACATGAAGGTGGGTACTTAGGTAAACTGTTTCAAGCACATTATATTTGTTGAGAGAAAGGGTTTGGTGCCTACGCCATCCCTGGCTGTGCCAGGTTCTACCAAGGCTCACCTACTGGAACAAATGGATGAAAATAATTATGTTTGGACCTCTTCCAAGGAGGGATATCCAACCCAAACTACTTGATTGAAAAAAAAAAAAAAAGAAAGAAAAAAAAAGCCATCTGGAAAGCAGCAATCCCCTCTAAAGTCACAAACCTTAAGTTTCTAAGGTAGGCATTAGTTTAATCACTAGCAACAGTAGCAAAAGGTTGGCCAGTTAGGACCAGGTAATTTCTGATCAGGTTTAATTACTATCAAAAGCTAATGGGGTTTTGGGACTTCCAGAACTGATTACACTTGCATTTTCTCCCCAAAATTCTTCTAACAGAGGCTGACAGATCAGTGACTCTTTCATGCCTCTGGCAGTTCAAATTGTCCAGGTGGACAAATTTTATTCCACATTTGGTTTAAAATGAGACTGCAGTTTACTTTCCCTAAGACTGTCACAATGCTCTAGCAGATGTTGGTCTGTTTGTTATTACTCCTCGGCCTTGTCTCCTGTGATAACCCATCTAGTTCCAAGCTAAAGGCACATTTGATTTTTTCTATCTGATGCTGAAACCACACCCTGCAGATGGCCTGAGAGGAAATCTGGAGTTAGATAGGAACTTTGATGTCACTCTTTGATTACAGACTGCTACTAGACTCTGAGAACTCAGAAATCCTCAAAATATGAGTCTTCTTCCAAGTCACATGAACTCACACCTATCTTTAATCAATAAAGTCCTGCCTGGAGAATGACAAATTGGTAGGATTGTTCCCTAGGAAAGTGTATTCACTCATTCCCTGAGGGACTCATAAGCAAGGAGTGGTTCAGGACCAGCAGACTGCTTCTCTTCTTTTAGTCACTTAAATTCTCACCTCTAAAAATATTTGACTATCCTGCTGCACACCTCATACCACATGAGCCATCACAAGATTTTCTTCTGTTAAGAAAAACAAAGTCACTTGACTACTGTGGACAGAACCAACCTTTCATTTTGCAAGAAAAAAACTGGATGTAATGAAAAAGTTAACAGAGAAATCACATATTTGCAAAGGTGAATGAAGCCCTCCTAAAGTGTGTGCTTGTCTCCTAAAATTTGAATTTGCCACCCACTGTCTAATGTTAAATTTCTTATTTTGATTTCTACAGGAAGCCTAATTCTAGCTTTCCTTGCTTCTTTGTCCATGGAAAGGGCTCCAAATAAAAGACTGTGCTGTCTTGGCTATGAAACTTTCAGCCAACCAGTTCAGCAGAGATCAGCCACTGCGGTTACAATGTATGGAACATGCAAGCCAGCATGTGGACTGGACATTATGGAAGAGACATTAGAGCAGTCCCATTAGAAATATCCACTCCATGGATTCCGGTGGAGCCAGGCTTGCAGAATATCACTACTCTTCTGTGGTTCACATATTTATTTATGATTTCCTAGGACATCATAAACAGGACACCTCAGCCAAAGTCTATTGACTTTGCTTGAAGTGGTTTGCATCTGTTGTCTGTAGATATGTAACTTCTACTGAGGGCTAACGTCGTACTTTACTTTTCTCCTATTTTTAAAATCATTACAGAATTCTCACAAGCTAATAACATTAAATAAAGCCCAAACTAACATGCTGTCTTTTTGGAAATATCTACACTGGAAAACTTTTTATGTCTTCAGATGCATTTCAGAAACAGCAGCCAATTTCTCTTACTCCTATCTTGTAAAATCTTGTCACAGCACTTCTGTTCTCTCATCCAGTGTCTTTGGCACATAAGCAGCAGGCAAATCCCATCCCCCCCCCCCCCCAAAAAAATGCTGAGAGAGACATTGGGATGGGAAGTCAACTACTCAGCTGCTGTGAGATAATTCCATCTGATGGGAGAGACTTGAAGATTTCACTCCACTACATCATGGAAATCTGCCAGGAGGACAATGTCTACATCAGAGAGCTTTGAAGCAGATTGTTCTCATTCTCCCAAAGAGCACAGCTCCATGACATCATATATCTGTGTTTGGAAAGCACAGTAGCAGCTACGAAGAGCATCCAAACTGTACTGTCT